GTTGAGACAGGGTCCTTTCCACTCGGAGAATGTGATTGTCCATACTCTCATTCCAAAGGATTGATCAAGGGTGGTATGTTCAACGAGGCTTGTGACTAGAACAAGAATAGGTGGGTTCAACAAATGCGATTTCGCTTAGAAATTCAGACCAGCGTCTAAGCGTCATCGATATTCAACCGATGGGAGATTCGCAGAGGGTGGAAGCAGTTTCACGCATACATAACCTCATACGTAGTGTGGCAAAACATTTTCCATAGGTTCAGTATATGGCCTGAAGCCAAGTATGTAAGGCTTCAGCAGGTAATTGAACCGTTGAATCTCCAAATTGCCAGCACCGGATGTACATATCGATATCTTCAAAGATTTATTGGCCAATGAAATGTGGGGACTCGTGATTACAGTTCCAAGATTAAAAGAGCCGAATTCACCGTCTAAAGTCCTCTACATCGCCTTGGTGGAGTTGTCGATGATGAAGTGGACCAAGTGGTGAAGTGCCAGAGTCCGAGTTGTACTATTTTTGGACAAACCAACACCGGCAAATGCCGGTCGTACACATTCTGCCCAGCAGTCTTGGCTTAGGATTGGCTCAGGACCAGGACTTGGTTGAGATGGTGCCCAGAGGTGCCGTAGCTCTACAGTAACATACGCCACTTTTTGTGGATTCGGTGAAAGCGTTCTATGTTGTGTAGCGATTATTTCAATGGTCGTCATGAGATCAATAATTTGTCGTTGCCACGTGCGCACACCACGACTTGAGCGTGAACCTAACGTTAAACCACCGACAGGGACACAGCCCGCACAAGCCTGTTCTGACTTGTACCACCATCATCCTTCCACAATGGCGGTCCTATCCCTGCCATTGAGCTTTACAAACTCATTTTGGTCACAGGACTACCGCAGGGGCCTTCAAGTCCTCTTCAACAAATTGGACCAAGTATGTCACTCCGAGTACCTCATACCTCCGACTGACAGCTATCCTTAGGGTGTCGCTGAAAATGCTGAAATCGTCGCGTTCATAAGGGTATGTGGCAAGCTGCGGACCGTTTACGCGTTCATCATGTTCAATATATCCTGTGCAGGCTCGAGCAGTCGCAGAGGGCCACCTTGCCATTGCTCTCACAACTCCTTCATTGACAGGGCCTGCTGGTGGGACCTCTCCTCAACCATGCTGCTCTACTATTGCTCATATTTAACTAGGTACAGGCTTTAGTGCCGACGACGGTGCATCCCTCTTGATGGCTTTTCGGGGACTTCAAGCGGAGTCTGTTGCCCAGGGTCAAGCGCACAGAACTATAGCCAAGGAACTTGACACGTTAGTTGCAGATCCTTTTGAAGACTGGGCCCAGGGCTATGGGGTTAGTTCTTATAATTATGTACTCTTTCCCATCTCACCGCTTCTTCTAGGAGCGCATCAAAACGAACAAGGCCACCGTGATTGACAATTGGCTCAAATCATACGAACATGCCTACGCAGACGTTACGAAGCTTAAACAACAGTACCTCACAAAAACCAGGCGTGCCGACGAGGCCGAGGATGAGTGAGTCCCCAAGTTGGCGATATACACCCACAATGAAATAACCAACCATTCTCTAGTGCCAAATTCGCGCCCAACAGTGGTGGAAATGTTCCTGACAAGTACACATCATCCCCCCGACTTCGTCCCGTCGATGGCCGAACTCCACCTCCGCGTACCGCAAGTGTGTCGGAGCGCATCTCCCAACGACTAAAGGAAATCCAAAAGAGGAGCACCGGCGCCCTTCAAACTGCGCTGGCTGAAGATAATGAACAACTCCTTCCCAAGGTTGACAAGGGCAAAGGTAAGGCGGTGGACCAGGATCGACCTTCAACGCCACCAATTACTGCCTCGCCACCGCCAATGTCCCCTTTGGACCCCACGGCAGACCTGCCGCCTGCACCCATGCTCCTGGGGGGCCTATCGCTCACGCCTGCTTCCGTGTCGGTGCTGTTGACCAGAGCAGCTGCGGAGCTCCCGTTGCGACCTGTACGCTTCCCTTTGATAGGTGAATATCAGGACTGCTTCAACGGAGGGGAGTTTGTTTCCTGGCTCAACGAGAACGTGCCCGGGTTCGGTGGCAATCTTGATGTGGCTGAGAACGCTGCACGCGATTTGACAGAACGAGAAGGGCTCTTGCGTCGTCTTGGCGAGTTTGGCAATGAATTCGAACACTCAGACGAGGCATACTATCAGTTCCGCCCAAAGGTAGGAGGCCGTTTACATCCACGTTGGTTCCATCTCTAACACTTTTACAACCATCACAGGCATTCAACCTGGATAACAAGCAAACTCCCGAACAGAACGGGACTGCTCGTGCAGCTAAAGGCTTGCAAGCCGAAGCTGTCATCAAACAGGCCGGAGGCAACTTTGTCAACCTTGTTAGCAAAGTCCTCAGCAACACGAACAGCGGCGAGCCTGCATACGTGAAAGCCAGGCATGATGCTGATATCGCGGACAACGCGTACCGCCTCGCAGTGCGGAAGCTTGATCGACAGCGTCTTGCGCTAGAGGAACGCCTCGAGGAGACGTTGAAACTGCTCCAGCGTTGGGAGACCGAGCGTTTGCGTGCGGTGAAGACAGGTGCGTGGCTATCTTTTCTCTCCCCATTCAAGAATTTAGCTGACTAGTGGATCCTTCTTGAATAGTCCTCCTGCAATATCAGGGTACACTTGCCAATCTCCCCAAGTCGCTTGAGCCGTCCCTCGAACGCCAGACTACCCTCGTCGCGTCGTATCAACCTGAGAACGACCTGACTGCCCTTATTGAGCGGTATCGCACTGGGCCGTTCCGTCCTGATGCCCAAGTCTACGAAAGCGTCGCACATGACGAGTCTGATGTCGTCTTTGGCATTGACTTGAGGCGGTGGGCGGAAGTTGGATGGCACGCCCTTACGACGGGCGAGGAGAAGAAGGAGCTCGTTCCACCTGTGCTTACTGCACTCCTCGAGGGGCTCCTGGAGGCATACAAGAGACTTCCTAATGATGCAGGCAAGTCTCATCCCTTGAAGAGAATCTGGCACAAATACTGACTGCCAACGTCCTATCTAGAACGCCGCAAGTCCTGGATATATGAAGTGCCTTTGCCCCCGGTACATCATCTCCGCGAGACACTCAATGGGCTGCCCGTCGACCAGCCCATTTCAGCGGACTTTGTGGCCAAGTATGAAGCTCCCGTCATCGCCAGCGGCGTCAAGCTGTGGATGCTGGAGCTTGACCCGCCTCTGGCCCTCTACGAGGGCTGGGACGATCTGCGTAAACTGTATCCTACGGTTGGGTCTTCAGCGGAGAAGTCGGATGAGGATCACATTCAGAGTTTGTGTGCTGCACTACAGAGGCTCCCGAGGGTGCATCTGTATGTCCTTGATCTTGTGGTGAAACATCTGAGGGCGTAAGCCGATTTTCAATCTTCATGTCGAGGCGGGATACTGAATTGTGGTCTACAGGTTGATAGAGAGTACGAGTGTTGAGGAGGCCGATGAGGTTTACATTACGAAGCTGGCCCTTTCGATCGGACGCGGTAAGTTTGTTTCATACAGGGAACGACAGGCACTTGCTGACCCCCTCCATAGCGATTATCCGCCCCAAGGTCGAGACCGAAATCTCTGTTCAGGACCGTCATCCTACTCGTGCGTTTTGTCATATTTCTTAGTTCAATCCATGTACTCATTCTACGGATAGTTCTATTCATCGACCTTCTGAAACACTACGATGCCATCCTCCCTCCAACAATCAGCCGCAAAAAGCGCGAGTCGGAACGCAAGGTTCCCGTTCGCAAGCGCACAGCACCAGTTGATATGCGTTTGAGCAGGAGCCGTATATCCGTCGGCGCGGACACCAAGCAACTTCTGGCTGCCCAGCAGATCGCGCAGAACCCGTCGTTGATGAAGTCACCCAAGTCGCCTGAGCTACCGCCTCTTCCGTCGCTTGGTGCAGCATCGCCCCCTCCCCCGCCTCCACCTGTGTTCGCACCTACCCCAATAGCGGCCGCTGCCATCGTTCCGCCACCTCCGCCTCCCCCCGTTCTGGCTCCTTCACCGCCAGCCGCTCTCGTCCCTCCACCCCCCCCCCCACCTATCCAGGTCCCCGCACCCCCGCCTCCTCCACCGGCTGTCTCGTCCCCAGTTGACCGACCATCGTTCAAAGAGCCGCCGCCCGAGTTTGACAATGAGCCCCCGCGCCCCGCGTTCAAGGAGCCCCCACCCGAAGTCGACCTCGACACACCACCCCCCACCCGGCCCACATTCGTTGACCCCCCTCCCTCGCCTCCCCCCATTGCCGCCCCTCCTGCACCTTCTACCACCGTGGTCCCACCCACGCCGCAGAGACGCGGTACGGGAGGCTCAGGTCCCGGGAGCCCGTCTCCCACCAAGTTCGCCTCGAGGAGCCCGTCGCCGCCTGAGGATGTCACACTCTCCTCTGGGCGTACCAACCTGTCCCGCACCGGCTCAGCGCAGACCGGAGCGTCTGCGCGCGCACCCCGAGTCACGCGTGGACCGAGGACAGGAGCTGTAGCTAACTTGGCGTCGAGCTTTAACAACAGGAACAGTGTGTCGGGGACCAGCCCACCGGCACCTTCCGCGCCCGCCAACCGGTCGGTGAATAGGCTGAGTGGGAGCCCTGTGAGAAGGCCATCGAGCGTGCTCAGGAGCAGTGCGGGTACGTCTGCGTCGTTCTCGAGGAGGACTATGGCTAGCGATGCTGAGGATGATATTACAGAGAAGAAGTAGGGTTGTTTGCAAGTGGAGGGGATATACTTATGATCTATGGACCATTTTTGTTGCTTGTTTTGATGGACAGTGCACGATCTATAACTACCTAGGCTACTTATGCTTTCTTGATTCTCTTATGCTCAGATGACTTGAGGTCATCTCGATGAATTGGACATGCGATCACAAAATAAATGCCGATGCTCAGAACCTCGAGTCTTGAGCCACTTCCACCACTGTCTCCACAACTTCTCTGCATAGAAATCTTACTCTTCATGTCCCTCTTAGCTCAGTGGTAGAGCGCGTCACTAGTAGCAGCTGCCTATGAAATGACGAGGTCAGTCGTTCAAGTCGGCTAGAGGGAAATTATTATCTTTCATGACTTTTATTTTATAACGGTGAGCGGGAATTGCCGAGATCAAAAAATATTGGGCAGTTGTGCTGCACTTGGGTTTGGTTTCGTGAATGTCGACGATGGCCGTGCAGAAACGGTTGGTGACGACTGCAGCCAGGCTCGTGTCAGTGTCGACTGCACACCTTCCACGTTTCCCTCCCAAAGACGCCATTTACAAGGCCACTGAAATCCCAAAGGCTCCATTTGTACCAGAAACATGGGCTTCAATTCAACCTGCTCCTCCCTCTGCCCTCTCTGCGTTTGCTCATAGAATCGGCCTTGGAACCGTTCTATCCACACCAGAGACCGTTCTCCGCATCTGCACACATTCATCCTTCCGGTCACTACAAATGCAGCTCGCACCACACGAACGCAAGGCAGAAACCAACGCACAACTTGCACCACTCGGCAACGCACTCCTCGGTCTTTTCGCCTCAGAGTTCGTCCACGCCGCATACCCACATCTCCCCACCCGTGTCTTCAAAGCCGCCGTCAGCGCACACGTCGGCACACTCACATGTGCATCAGTAGCTCAGGAAATGGGTGCCGCACCCCTTCTTCGCTGGCATCGTTCAGTAAGCGTCATTTCCTGTCATATTTTCAGTCTATTCATTCTTTTTAGGACGACATAAACCACTCAGACGCCCTCGCGTCCGTATCCCGCTCAATAACAGCACTCATATACGAGAAACGCTCCCTCCTCTCCGCGCGCCAATTTGCCCACTCTTACTTCCTCTCCCGCGACATCGACCTCCGCGGAATGATCAAGTTCCGCCACCCTAAAAAAGCCCTGCTAGAAATGGTCAAGAAGCTCGACCGCGAGCCTCCAAAATCCCGGTACGTCTTGCTATTTTTTGCTGTCACCGCCATTTTTCGCTCACGTGCCTCCTCCCTAGCCTCCTCAAAGAGACCGGTCGTTTCTCCAATTCGCCTGTGTTTGTCGTCGGGATTTACTCCGGCGCTGACCAGCTCGGCGAGGGCTTTGGCTCCTCGCTTAATATGGCCGAGTTCCGTGCCGCCGAGGACGCGCTGCACCGAGTGTACCTCACGCGTGTGCCGAATCACCTCATGCACCTCCCAACGTCGACGTTCCCCAAGGGCCTGGGCAGTGTGTTTGACATTACGAGTGGGGAGCTCCCGCATACCCCAGCGGATGTGGGTCTGCCAGAGGTGGAGTACGGAATGTCGGGGAAGAGCAGTGCAAACTATACGACAGATTAAAGGGTATTAATACGTACGGCCTACTAATGCAATTCACATTATAATGGACATGGAGGGGTGTCGACCCCTTATGCTTGAGGGGAGTGAGTGTCAGGCGTACTTCGCCATGGTATAGGAACAAGTCGGGTATAGTACAATCGCAAGTCTTTTTTCTATCACTGCTCCAAACCTAACCGCCTCCGCTCGATTCGTTCTCTCTCAAGTCGAGTGATCTTGCCCTCGACTACAGTAATAGTATCGTCCCAAGCAACAAAAAGCTCCGATAACGCGTCGACCTACATGCAATTTGTTATTCATATCCTCAACTTGGAATACAATTATAATAGACACACCTGAGTCGCATGCCTCTCCACGAGCGCCGCCGTCCTGCGTTCCAATGCCGCCGCCAGCTCCAAGTCTTCGCGGTGCTGTGCGAGCAGTGCGTCGAGGCGCGGTTGTAGTTCCTCATAGGCTGCAAACGACGAATCCGAAGTCAGATCGCCAAAAGTAATCGAAGCAACGATAGAATAGAACACACATCCAAGCTTCCCAGCACCCGTCACGCCCTTGCTCTCCAGCAGCTCAATCTCGCGCATATCGCGCTCCGCTGCCCGAATGTCTGGCTCCATCTCCGCAAGCAACGCCTCCAGCTGCGCGGTGGGCATCGTGTCCTCTCCGTCGGACGTGGGGTCGAGGCTGGGGAGCGATAGTGCGAATGCAGGTGTGAGGAGGTGGGCGTGCTGATCGTCTGCAACATCAAAGGTTTATTGGTATGAGAAACCTGAGGATAGATACGAGGACGGACATTGCGCGAGAAACCGCTTCAGCCCATCGTTAGATGCCACCACGGCGTCCAAGCGGCGCTGTAAGTCCTCCGCGGTACGGCATAGAGTGTGCCGCGTCTGCTGCTGCTCCTCGCCAGGTTTTCTCCCTCCAACGCCCACCAGCAGCGCCTCCAACCACCTCAACCTCAGATCAAGCGCAAGCCTCGGATCGATCTGTGTGCTCTGAATTTGTGCAGAACTGCTGGGAATGGACATCTGGTGGTTTTCGTTTATTACGGGTGAGGACTGTGAGAGGCTGGGGAAGACGGCGGCGATGGAGGATGGTGGTGGCGACGATGGGGGTGGCGATGAGGATGGCGATGAGTGAGAGGAGTTGGCGAAGATGCGATGGCGCGCGACGTCGCCGAGGAAGACGCTTCCTATGCTCGCCATTGTGGTGCAGTGAGTAAATCGTTTCGTGTGGTTACAGCTTAGGCGCCCGTGATCCGCTCCTTCAAGTTCAAGTTCAACTCAGCACTTTCTTTTCTTTCCTTCCTTCTTCGGCCTCTTTCCAACGACAACCCAACTCGTTCTCTACAACTTCTCACCCATGCAGCCCTGCTGCGGCTGCAGGGTAAGGTTTTCTCTGTCGAGATCAAGCGGTTGCCTACATGAATGTGCGCCGCTTCCAGACCTTTGGGTCGAGGTACAAACTACCGTTTCTACCGTACAGAATTAGTCCTGCGGCCCGGCCGTCTGCTGTTTCGTTGCCTACTTCTGAATGGCGGCCTCTACTGCGGACAGATTTTGAAATTTGAATAACGGGACAACGACACTGATGAATATCGGATTCAAATCGGTTGGTGACCTCCGGTCACCTGTTATTTTGGATACTTTCCGCGATTTTTCCTTCCCTATTAATCCGTTATATCAAGGCAACGTCCCACTTGCATGTGAAGATACCTTTGCTTGGCTTTTTCGTGGGCGGCCCGGGCGTACTCCGGGCGTACACTGTACCTCTTCTCTGATTCTGGTCGTCGTTGTGCATGGTCGAGTGATGGAGCCCTTACGTCCTCGCCCTTGTTCACTTCCTTTCAGGCTACTCTGTAGCGGTCCGCGTAAATCCCCCACAGTCTTGGCGCCTAGGAAATCTCTGGATGAGCCAGAAATAAAAGGGCGGCCGGCGAGGCTCTAGATACTCAGTCTCATCTCCACAAACAAGATGTTCTCCTCTACCAAACTCGTCTCTTTCGTCCTTCTCGGTGCTGCTCTCGTCGCAGCTGAGCCGTATGTGCCTTTTTGCATCTAGTTTGTGCATTTATCTCACTCATCTTCACTAGTATCGAGCGCCGTACCGCCACGAACGTGTTCCCCACTCCTCCGACAACAAGCTCCCTGTCCAAGCCCATCACCGTCGCAGCTGGAACGACCTTCACCCCGGCGAAGGCTTACACCAGATACGACCGAGGCTCTGGTTCTTGCGGAGGTCAGACCGAGGGTGGTGATGCCGATGCCGTCTTCCTCCTCGAGGAGGGCGCGACCTTGAGCCGTGTGACCATCGGAGCCAACCAGTCTGAGGGTGTTCACTGCCTCGGTACGTGTTTCTGTTGCACCCATAAGAGATTGTATTGACCGAACAACCTCAAGGATCTTGCACTTTGGATCACGTCTACTTCGAGGACGTCTGTGAGGACGCCATCACCATCAAGCAGAAGAGCGGAACCTCTCACATCAACTACGGAGGTGTAAGTCTCCTTTCTTCCTACTCTCTGCTCTTGCAGAGTACTGATATAATTCATCTGTAGGCCAAGGTAAGAAGATTGTATCTCCGAAGCGAGGTACATAACTTAACAATCTATCTCTCCCCGTCGCTTTAGCATGCCGAAGACAAAGGTTCGTCTTAATCTTGCTATTTTCACAAGCTTCCTCCTCAACCATCTACTTTCAGTTGTCCAACACAACGGAGGTGGAACAGTCATCATCAACTCAGTGCGTCCAGACTCTCATTCTTTATACTGTCTAATTGGATTAACTCCTCATTAGTTCTACGTTGAGGACTTCGGCAAGCTGTACCGTAGCGTACGTCTATGCACTCCGCTCTCTCGCCAAGCACACTAAATCGTACGCCTCTACAGTGTGGAAACTGCGACACCATGTACACTCGCCACGTTCAGATCAACGATGCCTGGGCCGTCGATGGTTCCACCCTCGTTGGTATCAACTCGTGAGTCCTGGCTACCTCTACTTCTTGAATTGGTTTTGACTTGTGTCCTTCAGCAACTACGGAGAGTAAGCTCGCGATTATCTTCATCCAACATAATGAGAGAGCTAACGTTCTCTCCAGTACTGCTACCATCAGGACCACCAAGGCAACTGACGTTTCGACTATCTGCCAGAGATACAACGGCAACGACACCGGCGATGAGCCCACTAAGGCTGGCAGCGGCCCCGACAGCAAGGTACGCTGGGCAACCAAAAATACTTGTGACTTTTGGGAACTAATCGGGTTCTCAGTACTGCCTGTACACCACCTCAGACATCACCTCCTGAATAAAAATGTGCTGTAGTCGAGGCGATTCTGTTGTACATATGTTGGGTCGTGTATAACAATATAGGACTTTTTTGGTTGTTGGATTCATTTCTACGTCTATCTATTCTACTCGCTCGACACCGTGAGACTCAATCTAACTGCCTGAACAACGAATCTGGAGTTCATGGCTCTGATACTCTAACTCCCAGCTCCTCTCAAGGATAACATATAGTCTCGAGATGCTCCGAGTCGCGACCTGATCCGATCAACTCCCTCATGTACTTAAAGTAATTGGACTTGATTTGGGCTTCATCTCAACAAGCAGCTGCTCATACTAGTACGACTGTTCACTCGGATAGATCTCGACCGAGTGCCCCAGCGAACTTTAGCACGGCTTCAAGAGTGGATCATCAAGTGTGACCCTTCCGATCTTGATCGTTCTGAACACAGGATTCAAACTGCAGTAACTTGAAGAAA